GTACACAGGGACATGTGCCTTATGAAAGAACTTGGGACTTTATCTTAGGGACACACAAATATCATCGAACAGTTTCCTGCAGCTGAACTCTGCAACCAGCTCTGTGCTTCTGAAAGCTCACTGGTGTGGAGATGGTGAAGTGGGAGCACGAGTGGAGGGCTACTGTGGTAGCTTTGGGGGACAGGCAGTGCTGTGAGGAGGGCAGGAGTGGGGAACGGCAGATAAGACTTTGGAGCTAGCATGTGAGAACTGGGATGTGGGAAGGGAAGGGTCACACAGAATGCCCAGGTTAGTCCTTGGGAGCTGATATATGATGGTGCCTTCGCCAAAAGAGCTCAAGAGGAGAAGGAAGGATGTGGGAGGGGAGCCAGGAGGGAAGATGATGAGAGTCTGACATCGTTGTGAGCCACCCAGAGAAAGCAGGCCAATAAGCAAATTACTACTGGGATCTGGAAGCAGGTCTGAAAACCATCTCCATGTGATGCTCATGAAGACCAGTGGGGAGCAATAACTCCCAGCAGCAGTCTATAGCTGTTGCTGTTGTACTTGTTTAGTGCCATTGAGTTGGTGCCAACTCATAGCAGCCCTATATATGGTTTCTGAGAAGCAGCTGGTGGATTTGAACTGCAAGGTCGCAGTTGTGATTCAGTGCTTATCTGACAGCACCACACCAGGACTCCAGTCTATAGGAGTCATGATCAGAGCCAGTGCTGAAATACCGTCACTGGTATTTCAGGACGACGAGTGTGGAACTCCATAAGGACACTGAGAAACAGAGGTACGGTAAGAAATGACAACCTGTCAGATCATTCATGTGACCACACCTATGACTTAGGGCAGGGTTTTCTGGCAGAGGGAGGGAAAGGCTCATATCTTGTTGGCTCCAGGAGTCACAGGCTTGCCCACACAGCCGGGGCCCAGATGCAGGCTGGCTGGCAGTGTCGTGGCATACGGCACATTTGCAATTATACTTCCTCAAAGGTACCTAGAGAACTACAACCAGGGACAGAGAATATCTGCAATGGCAGGGTGTGAATGTGGCCCCATGTCTTCCATGCAGCCCAGAACAGCCTCCCAGGAGAGCAGTGGGAGCAGCCACTCAACTTCAGAAGGCTGGAAAGTGCAACAGAGGGATGAACTGACCCACCGAGCTTGCGGCCACTGGAGGCAAGGCCAGGATAAAACTCTGGTCTTCTAGTTCCTAACTTTTAAAGCAATGGTACTAGTTAGACCCACAGTGTGTGTCCACAGCCAGGAAATGACGCACCATCTTTGGAAAACCAGACTTATGACAGGCATAGCCCTATAATTCTTTTGCTTCTCAACTGGCTCCCTCTTTCAGGCAAAGGTGCCTGTCTCCTTGTATATGAATTAGCAGAGCGGTTCCCAGCAATTGTACCAGTGCAATCAAAAGCACTTCAAACTGCAAGCGAGAGTTCAGCTGGACTACTCAGAGAAAAGCCGAGTCAAAGCAAGATGCAGTCTGTTGGAATGGTTTTAGCGTCTCAGCAACATGCAGGTCGTTGACCTCTAAGGAAAAAACATGCCGAGGTGTGAGAAGAACTGTACTGGCACCACAGCAGTGTGAGTCGAAAGAGCCCAGACATGCCAACGGCACACCAGGGCACATCAGAGGCCAGGGGCTCAGTCCAGCTTCAGCCTTTTCCTCAGTGGCCTTCAGATTCTTCCTAACAAAAATGGGATCCATGCCAGCACCTACTTACAGGGTGATTATCAGAATGAAGTTAGGCAGTTAGTAGTAGCACAGGAAGTATGCATGTTCCAGCCATCACTGTCATCATTATAGAACTGCTATTTCAAAGCAGGCATCCAGGCAAACCCAGGGCCGCTGTGCTGCGGGTGGGTCAGCCCTGTGTTCTTGCGTCCCTACCTCAGTCCTGGGGGCACCACCTCTCAGAGAACACATCTGCAAACACTGGTGTTGGCAATCGTGTGCTGAATAGGCAAGGTGGGAGAGGGAGACAGGAAGGATACACAGGGGAGATTCCTGGGAGAGACGCGAACACCAGAGGCTGTGGCTGGGAGATGCTGCAGGCATAAGGACGGTATATGTAGGGGCACAAAGGTAGTGCCTTCTAAGGAACAAAAGTTGCTCCCCCACCTCAAAAAAAATACTAGTTGCCAATAAATTGATTCCAACTCATAGCGACCCTATGTGTTTCAGAGTAGAATTGCACTTTACAGGGTTTTCAAGGCTGGGGCCTCTGGAAGCAGCTGCCAGGACTTTCTACTGAGGATCACTGGGTAGACTCAAACTGCCAAACTTTCTCAAGTGGTTCACTATTTGCACCATTCAGGGGCTCTGAAAGTGGTGGTGAAGAATAGCCTCAAGAGTACGTTCATTATGTCAATACAGCTTCAGTACTGGGAAGGGAGGGTGTGGGGCAGGCAAGCTCAGAAGGAGCAGGCAGACGAACCAGCAGCTGTGCAGAGAGAATTCATCAGCATGAGGACAAATTCAGAGAATAAAAATCTCTGATTAGATGTGGAGTTGTTGTTGTTGTTGTTGTCAGGTGCCATCGAGT